AAGGAGTCAAGTTTTGAAATGTCATAATGATTGTAAAACCAATGAAATGTATAAAATTAGTGAAATATATAAACTTGAAAAGTATAAATAAATAAACAAAACACACACACACACACACACACACACACACACACACACACACTATAGAGCCATTAAACAGCTCTTGTACAAATTGTACAAACATGTCATTTGAACCAATGAAAACACTTAGTGATTTTACAGCTGCTTCAAGTGTTAACTGCATTGGATTAAGTTGGAAATAAGGTTGTTTGAACGACAAACCTTGCTTCTTAACTATGAAAATATGACAAGATAATTAAATTCTATGTGATGGCTTTTTCTAAAGCTCAGCCTGCAGTGCTCTTGATAGTTTCTACAGGGACAGTTTGTATGTGGCAAAGATATTTGATCACTAATTGTGGTATTCTCTTTATCTAAGGATTTGCAGTTCTGTATATAAGAATCAAATACTTAAGATCATTTGCTGTTTGGAAAGACAACCTAGTCTGAGCAACAGCAACAAAAACCCAGCAAATTCTTGCAGCTTTGTTTTTGCAGGGACAAAAATGTGAATCAAAATATTTTGGTCTTCCATGGGGCAGACTGAAATCCTGTTTTGGTTTTCAGTTATTTCTGTAAACTTATATGCTTTATTATAACATATACCCAGAAGTCATAAAGAATTATGGTTATGATGAAAGTCATATACCGTATTTTTCGCTCTATAAGACGCACCAGACCACAAGATGCACCTAGTTTTTGGAGGAGGAAAACAAGTAAAAAAAAATTCTGAATCTCAGAAGCCACTGCGCAGTGAAAGCAGCAATCCCTCTTGCTGTTCTGGTTTCTGGGATAGCTGCGCAGCCTGCATTTGCGCCATAAGACGCAAACACATTTCCCCTTACTTTTCAGGAGGGAAAAAGTGAGTCTTATAGAGCTAAAAATACGGTATTTTTAGTTCTTGCAAAAAGTACCCTTGAGAAGAGACACTGTTTTGCTGCTGATCGGTTGGGCTTCTGATAAGGAGAGAACAGGAAATTAGTGTTCAGGCACTGGGGATGGGGGTGGGGTGGACCTCTCAGTTTCTCATCTTTCTAATTTTAAGCACAGTCCTCCACATTCTTATGTTACTTTCACCAGTATATGCATTCTTATGCACACTTTGGCATATGCTTTTGTGTACACATTTCCTGAATGCACATGGGAATGTGGTGCAAGAAAAGTGGTCTGCTGCCCAGATGGGAAGTTTAAGCTGAGCAAAGAGTAGCATGGAAATATATGCAGACTGTGGGGACATCACTAAGGTCTACACCAGGAAGAAGCAGACTTACCTGTATGAAGCTCGGTGAGTTTTCCTGTTGCCTGCAAAAGGTGGCTTATATTGAAATGTTCCCCATGCTCCAGCCAAGCTAAAGTGACCACAGTTCTTCCCCAAGAGTCTCCCCAAGTCAAGATAACTCAATAAGCTCCCTATAGAAACAATTAGAATGTTTGCTTCTTCTTGATGATTTGATATGGGAATAAGGATGCAAAACTATTGTCTCTCTCTCTCCTGCTCACTAGAGAATTTACACCAAAAGGGAAGAAAACACCACAAACATAACAAACAACTTGGTTTGTGAGTTCTCCGTGTAGGGTTGCAGTTTTTCAAAAAGTGAAAATCCGGGCACTTTTACAGACGGCTGAATCCCGGCTATGTCTGGGAAATTCCAGATGTATGGCATCCTTATATTTCCTCCTCCTCTTCCCTCTTTCTTCTCTTGGTCTAGTACAGAGGTCACCAACACGGCTCCCAGAGATGCACATGTACCCACAGATGCCTTCCCAGGTGCCCACAGGGGCCTCTCCCCTCTTGGAAAGCAGATTTGAAAGGATTCTATTGCAGCCAATATAACAGGTTGTGTTGTGTGCTTGGTAAGCGTGTGGGACAGTTCCCCCAATTTGCAAAAGTGCTCACAGGCCCCAAAAGGCTGGACTCCTCTGGCCTGGTGGACAGTCTTTTGGAGGACAGGGTTTGCTTTTATGCCACTGTTTTGATCTTTTTAGGTGGTATTTTTGTTTTAACGGTATTATATTGTCCACAGCTTAGATATTTTTAAAGTGTCTTATAACTGCTTTGAAATAAATAAACTATACAGAGAGGGAAGAACTGTTTCTTTGTTTAATCACAACTGATCCAATAGCTTTGCTTCTAGGAATTTTGAAGCACTATTTTTAGAACAGGAAGCTTAAAGGTGAAAGCAAGTGAATGGAACGTAGGGTTGCCATATGTTTTCCTTTTTTCCAGACACGTCCTAGCCATTCATATATCTGCATATATTTGCATATGAATAAAACAATAGTTCTTGAAAGAGAAAAACTTCATTCTTCACTTTTAGTTGACGCAAAAAACAAGCAACAGTTTAGGGCATGTATTCTATACAATGCAGCAGAAGGAGGGAGATCTCTTTAACATGGTATCAGCAGCCACCCCCAGTTGTTTGTTTTTTAAGTGCTCATATTACACATGTTCCCAAAAACCTACAGATGTTGAATGTATTAAGAATATGCAACATCTTTAAGTTCTACTAGCCAGTGAATCAGGGGAATCTTAAACAGTGATTGAAAGCTTTTTAATTAGTAGTCTAGATAGTTCCACAGTCCTTCCCAGAAATAACTTGAGGAGAATGGATCAGGTTTTGTTTTTGTTTTTAATGTCCTTCAGACAACATAATGTGGGCCCTAAATTGTGTCTAGTGTGAATCAGGCCTCCATTGCTGTGCCCCAACTTAAGCCCTCTCTCCAAACACCTTTCTCTGTTTACCTGGACTTGGTGGACCTGGGAGAGCATAGTTTGCAGCATTGAGGGCTGCCAGGAGTCATGGGAAAGGTAGGTTCCTTAATCCCCTGGATGCTTCTATATGGTGTGGAGGGCTCCACAGGTAAAACGCACTTTGTTAGGCCCTAGATATATGGCAGCACCATAAGAACTACATTCTCCATTGCTGCTAGTTGTGCAGTGTCTAGTGACTAATGGTGGCTGAAGTTCCTTTGGCACTCTCCGTGCTGCTGCCCATTAGCTTTGATGAGTTCAGGAAAGAAAGAGACAGTGGAGACCATTCAAGAGAACCTGAAGAGAGATCCATGTCAAGACAGAGTGATCTTAACTTGAGACTAAATCTAAGGAGAGCTCATCAGTGGAGCTGCCTCCATTGCATCCTCATCAAGTCGCCTGGCAGAGCTTTTTCGGGTTGTACGGGGCCTTTTACAGGCTGGGAGAACCAACGGTAGTTCGCTGTGACTTGTTTGCAAGGCATTTTGAGGATAAAATTGCTTGCATCCACTAAGACCATGAATCTGCTGTTATAGCAGATGAATCTCATGGGGTGTCCAGAGCATAGTCTAGTCCTCTTGTGTTGGATGAGTTTCAGTTGGTAAGGCTCGAGGATGTGGACAAGGTGCTCGGATTGGTCAGGGCAACCACTTGCGCTCCAGACCTTTGCTCCTCTTGGCTGATAAAAACCAGCAGGGAGGGAACAGCTGGCAGGGCCAGGGAGGTGATCAATCCCTCTTTATGAGAGGGGGTGGTCCCTGCCTGTTTGAAGGAGGCAGTGGTAAAACCAATCCTTAAGAAGCCTTCCCTGGATTTGGAAAACCTAACTAACTTTCGAGCAGTTGCTAATCTCCCTTTCCTGAGCAAGGTTCTGGAGCGAGTGGTCGCAGACCAGATCCAGGTGCTTTTGGAAGAAACTGATTTTCTGGATCCATTTCAATCAGGGTTTAGGCCCAGTTTGGGCACAGAAACTGCTTTGGTCACCCTGTATGATGACGTCTGTTGAGAGAGACAAGGGAAACATGTCCCTGTTAATTCTCCTCAACCTCTCAGCGGCTTTTGATACCATTGACCATGATATCCTTCTAGAGTGGCTGTCCGAAGTAGGGGTGGGTGGCACTGCTTTGCGGTGGTTCCAGCCCTACTTGGATGGTCATTCCCAGAGGGTGTTGCTTGGGGAATGCTTTTCAACCCCATGGAACCTTCAATGTGGGATTCTGCAGCGCTCAATCCTATCTCCAATGTTGTTTAACATCTACATGAAACCGCTGGATGGGGAGTATGTTGTCAGCAGTATGCTGATAACACTCAGCTCTTTTTCTTCTTTACATCTGCAGGTGAGGCAGTGGAAGTGCTGGACCAGTGACTTGCCTTGATAATGGACTGGATGAGAGCCAACAAACTGAAACTCAATCCAGATAAGACTGAGGGACTGTTAGTGGGTGGTTCCCTAGACCGGATGGGTGGGAGATTGCCTGCTCTTGATGGGGTTATATTGATGGGGTTACACGACCTATAACGCCTTAAACAGCTCAGAACTGCAATACCTCAAAGACCGCCTCTTTCCATATGAACCTACCAGGACCCTGAGATCATCTTCTGAGGTCCTCCTTGATGTACCGCCTCCTCGAGAGGTTCGGAGGGTGGCAACAGGAGAATAGGCCTTCTCTGCAGAGGCTCCCCGTCTGTGGAATGCTCTCCCCAGAGAAGTTCACCTGCTGCCTTCATTACACACCTTTGGCGCCAGGCAAAAACGTTCCTTTTTAACCAGGCCTTTGGTTGATTTGATTGACATCTTATGCCCTTTTAAAATGTGTGTGTGTGGGGGGGGTTATTGGGTGGTTGTTTTAATTTTGATTATGGATTTTGTGGTTTTATATTTTGATTTTATTTTGTAAACTGCCCCGAGACCTGCAGGTATAAAGCGATATATAAATTCAATAATCATAATAATCATAATAATAATAATCAGGTGTGCAACCCCCACTCCAACATCTGTGGTAATTCCATACCCTAACATTTTAGACTATTAATCAAATTGGGTAATCTACTAAAAATTGCAGCGACAGCACATAGCCTGGGTGGATAGATATATTTATGGTGGGGGGGAGGGAGTTAATACATCAATAATATTTCACTTCCTGGCTTCTTGGAAGTGATATCTTTGATCACTTTTCTCTTGGGTTCTTTAGCAAGCCTCTTCCTTGGAAGAAAGTGTAGCACTGGAGGCTGGAGGAGCAGGGTTGCCTTCAGCAGAATTCATACCACCTTGATAGATGGTGTACTGCATGAAAGTTATGGCCTGAAACACACACAAACATACATGGTTATGATGGTGTCCTTTTTTCCCATGTCACCATGATCTAAACAATTGCTCTAAATTCTTAAAGCCCTCTGTAGCTGAACTCTACCAGTGCAGCTGATACCACACTGATAAGGAACAGGGTCATTCAAGCCTTTTGCAGCCATATCAAATGCTATTGCTGTACATGGGGGGTGCATGAATAAGGAACAGAAGACTTCCTAGGCTCCATCAGACTCGTGGTCCAGAACCATGGTCCTCTACTGTAGATAACAGCTGGCAATTCCAAGACAGCTGCAAAGGATCGCATGGGAGCCTGAAGGCATTTCTAAACCCCACGAATCAATATCTCCTCTGTACCATATTTTCAATATGATCTGCTTAATTTCTGAGCAAGGCTTTCCAATGCTTACCCTCTCATTGTTACAGCAGACGGCCAGGCAGCCAAAATGTGTTGTGGAAACTGCAATGCAGAACTCCAGGGAGGTGAACAAGAAGAGGAGGATTCCGAGACCAGTACCTATTTGGTAGCTTAGCTGCAAAGCAGAGGAGCAGGTGACATGACAACACGGACACAGCTCTGGGTACTAGAAAATCATCTCAGTGGTTTCAAGGCAGCTCATAAGAAAAATTCTGACCTGACAACACCAGTGAAAAATTCATGTGGAGAAGAGTTGGAGGCAGTGGTGACGACTATTTAGAATTGTTTGGGCAAGAGGTCATACTGACATACATCTGCCTCTTTGAATATAACACAGTAAGAAACAGGGCTGTGCAGCTGGGACCTTCTTAGTATGTTTGCATTTTGCAGCCTCACAAAGCAAATCTCCAGGCATACAGTGGATAGGATTTAGAAGGTGTGGTGCACACATAAGGCTAAAAACCTCATTTGTGCCTTGCCACCTGCATGAAGGCTGCTAATATAGGATAGAACACAGAAGAACTACCCAATGTACATTCTGATCAATATATTATCAGGTTGTATGGCAGGTGAATCAGAAAAAAGTCCACTTAAGCTACACATAGTAGTTTTGCTATTGACCCTTCTGTATCGTTGACATTTGCCTCACACTTTCTTTTCAAAAGAAGCAGCTAAAGAGAATATCTTTAGCGCTGCTCTGGTTCACCAGAAGCAGCTTAGTCATGCTGGCCACATGACCCGGAAGCTGTACGCCGGCTCCCTCAGCCAATAAAGCGAGATGAGCACCGCAACCCCAGAGTCGGCCATGACTGGACCTAATGGTCAGGGGTCCCTTTACCTTTAAAGAGAATATCTGGGAGTTACTGTGTCAAAAAACAAAGACGCTATCAGCACTATACATTTAAAGCAGTACCATCCTACTTTAAACCATCACACCTTACCCAAAGAATCCCAGGAAGTTTTTTTTAAGGGTGCTGAGAGTTGTTTGTCTTCCCAAAGAGCTACAATTCCTAGAATTCCCAGAGGCTGGTCTCTTGATGTGGGAACTGCTTGCAGCACAAGCAAAGCTCAAGGTGGCTCTGGGTTTCTCTCCCTTTCTAAAGATTTTGCCCACAATGTCAACATTTTTTGGAACTTGTTCACTTACCTCACAAGAATATTTGTCCTGATTAAGATGATCACAATTTTTAAGAACAGAATTTAGGCACAGCTCCGTCAAATAGAGCATGATGCCAACTAATGCCATTATAGAACTTGTGATGTTCATTCCCACACTGCATTTCACCTGAAAGATACAATGAATCAGGAGACCCGAAAACAGAGGTCCATCTTCAAAGGCAAATAGTCTAATGAAGAGAGTCATACCCAAACGATGTGAAGAGAAATACCTGTTTTGCAAGAGGCCTGAGTTCAAGCTGAATTGAGGTTTAAATCAGAGGAAATAGAAATCTAAAGACCAATCTGAAGCAGTGTGAAGGATCTGTCAATCACACAAAACTGTACAGGCTTCCTGTTGTTTGTATTTGTACTGAAGTTTGGAATGAACTAGTTCAGTCAAATGAAGTTCACTGAATTAGTTCAAAAATCTCTAAACTTCACCTGAAAGTAGTTCCCATAATTGCTAGGTGAACAGAACATGAACTAAGTTGAAACTGGAGGTGCAAGGGAAGGAAAGAAGCCCCTGGGCAGACATGGAGGGTACTATAACTGAGGACTCAGCTACACGGCCAAAGAAAAAACGCTTTATATGTGTTGTTTATGCATTCTAACACTAGATGGGGCTGTGGAGTCCCGTTTTTGTTAACCAGATTTCTCATACAAAATTTGCAACGCGTTTAACTGAAATGCTTCTTTGATGTGTCTAGATCCAGTCTGAGTCTATGAAACTGGATTTCATGTGCCAGGATAGCTGAGTTAGTTAGAGATCATGGTGCTGATAACACCAAGGTTGCAGGTTCAATCCCCATATGGGACAGCTGCACATTCCTACATTGTAGGAGGTTGAACTAGATGCATAGATCGCAGGTATGAGAACTTGCAAAGGGATGTCTGCAAAAGTGTTTGAGAAAACCCTCAAACAGCAGTACTTCAAGGACTGAGGTCTGTGTGTGTAGCTAGGCAAGCAAGGAGGGCATGTGTTCTACATAACAAATTGCCACGTCGTGCTCCCCTCTACCGTGTAGCCAGCAAACAACGGTTGACATTCTAAGCCCCTGTAAACTCTACCAGGCTTTTATGCTCCCCCACGATTACCACCTGATTTACTTTACTTCTGCTGGATGTATTTAGGATTTAGAACCCCACTTATCTGGCAGCAAGTCCAGTTGAATTCACTTCAATCTACTTCTAAGTAGATGTGGTTAGGTTTGCACTGCAATTCGCATTGACGGATGGAAAGAGTATGCTGATGCTGTGAAATATATGCTGCATTGTTCTTGGACCAATCAGACTGCTGCATTCTGAATCCTATTGTTCTAGGACCAATCAGACTGCTGCAATTTGGATCCTATTGTTCTAGGACCAATCAGACTGCTGCAGTTTGGATCCTATTCAACTCAGTACATAACATGCTGCATAAGGGCACTTTTAAAAAGTTGGGTAACCCAAAGCAGGAGAGAAGTGACAGAGAAGCTATCCCTCAATGGGCTGCCACCTTTTCTGTGATTTCCTAGGGAGCTGCAGTGCCAGACGGCACGGCACTGAAGATCAAGCCAGTGGTGGAGCTTTATGCTCCAGCATCGGGGTGGGGGTGGAGAGCAGGCGGGAGTATGGCTGGCGTGCATCCTGGGAGCATGGTGCATGTCCCGGGGCGTGGCGCTGCCTGCAGGGGGTTGACGCATGTCCTGGGGGCGTTACGCGCCGCCTGCAGGGGTGGGGTGCCCAGCGCGGGGGGGGGGGGGGGGCAGCCATGATGGCACCCCACCGGGATATCGCTGTCGGGGGCGGTGCGCTCCTCCTGCACCCCTCTTCCTCCACCAGTGGATCAAGCCACAGCCTCTTCTAAGAGCTGCTCTGGTGCTCAGGCAGCAAGGGGTCTGGGCCCTGGAACAACCACCCCCACTTTGAATCTCATGGTAGCACCTTCCAGCCAGGATTGGGATCAAGAGGTGTTACTTGAAGGAGCCTCGGCTACCCTCTGTTCTAGGTTGGTTGCCGATCTCGAGCACCAGTCTTACAGGCTGCTTTGATTTACGATAAATGCACATCAGAATAGTGTAGACAGTTACTCTAGTGCCCCTCCAGAGAACTTTTCAATTGCACATTCGTTATTATTTGTTCTCATGATGCTGTTGGGTCACACGTGATCCTGCTTTCACATGTTTGCACGTGCAAATGTTTTGAGAAGTCAGACTGTATCGTTTCCGATCAGTGCATATTTTGTAACTTCCTGCTGACATCCTACAACTTTTTATACTGCAGGTGTTCTGGTTTACTTTTGTCCTGCTTTTGCTATGCTATAGCCATTCAGACAGCAATAGTGTAATAGCATTAGGGAAGCACCACAGAACAAACTCATGCAGAATAAACCCACCGCTAATACACTATTATTATGGCAAAACCATGCTGCAGAACCACCTGCAATAAAAAATCAGTCTGGAGGGGGCCATATACCCAGACATGTAACAAGAAGGCTAAGTTATTTGTTTGTTTATACAGCAACACAAACGAGGAGGGAATGGTGTGTATCTCACCAGGCTTGTATTAAGATATTTCTCAGTTGACACAGCCAGGGATCCAGAAATAATGAACTATTCAGGAGAAGAAAAAGAAAAGATCATTTGGGTTGTTCACTAAAAAACAACAACATTTTCCTTAGTCCCAACATCTCAGTGCTTTGGGACTGATGTCAGATAATAGAATATTTTCTTCTTTTACCAAAGAACAGCCAACTATTGGCTTTCTGACTATGTCTCCAACATAAATGCATTGAAAACTGACAAGGAGATTTGTTCATTGGTTTTAATTAAAATGTTCTTGAACATGTGAATACGGCTTTGACATAAGATTCCCCTCTTCCTGTTGAACCATGTGTGCCAGTCCTTTGCAGTCCTATGCAGAGAACTAAGCACCATTGCTCCAAAGGCTTTGCCCAAGTTTTCCTGGATGGGGCATGATGACTTACCTGCCTCAACCAAAAGCATTGCTTTTGGTAAACAAATGGAACTAAAAAACTTTCTACATTTCTTGGGAAAGCCCTCCCGGGATAGTACAACTTGGTTTCAATCTGCACTATATATATTTAAAGCTGTGTTATAGTCACTTTAAATAGTCATGCCGCTCTGTCAAAGACTCCTGGGAACTGCAGCTTGTCAAGGGAGCTGAGAGTTAAGGGTGCGGTGCACAGAGCTACAATTCTCCGAGTGGTTTAACAATCAGTTCCTCTTCCCATGGAACAGTGGGAACTGTAGGTCTGTGAAGGGAATAGGGGTCTCAGAGGTCTTAGCAAAGCATTTCTGCTCACCAGACAGAACAACCCCTCCTCTCTTGCTCCCCTGCACTGTTCAGGGGGTTATTGTCACCTTTTTGAGCAAATTTGGGGAGGGTGGAGGCATGGGAAGGTGGAGAGCGAAGGAAGTCTCATTGTGCCAGTATGAATCCTGACACTGGCTTCCACTAGTGCAATAGCTTAGTTGACTCCAGCCTACAGACTTCACTTCTACATGAAAGAGTAAATGCTTTTGGGGACACCACTGGGGTGGAGGCAAGCAGGTTTCCTGCATGAGCACATTTCCTTCATCTATGTCTATTCCATTTCGCAAAACTATAAGGATATGCATGAGAGAGAGAGAGATTATGACTTATTTACTAGCTATTAGTTCTCAATACAAAAAAAGTCAGCAATTGAATAGGAACATAATGGAGACTTCCTCTCCAAGGTCAAAGCTGTGTGCACACGTCATACACCTAAAGCACCCCCCCCCCGAAAAATGGGAACTGTAGTTTACCCTGCATGGAGCTACAATTCCTAGCACCCTTAAACTACAATTTAGGATGGTTGGGCGTGTGTGGAGGATGTGCTTTAAATGTGAATTAAATGTATGCTATGTATGCAGCCCTAAATTTCATGACCATGGACACTGAAACAGACTGGTCCTCAAAGACAAATAACCAACTACTTACAAATAGTCCAGCCCAGAATGGATAACCTCCAAGAGCAGCAAAAACCCTATGGTAAGGTAAAAGGACAAGGGAGACAGCCCCAAAGCCAATGTGTACCAATCCAATCATGATCTGGATAACCTGGGAGAGAAAATTACACAAACAAGATCAAACAGCTTCCTGAGCCCTGATAAGAGGTAAAAAACCCAAACCCCTGAATAATGACTTCAAGCTGCCCACACAGAAAAACAGAAAAAACCTTCTCAGGTCCCTAGATTGTGTGAGGAATATCCTCCTCTAAGTCCTTGTAATGGTGTCTGATAATTTGAACCTTTTCTATGGTTTATTCCTGTAGCTCGTGGCATCAATGAATGTGGCATAATTTGATGTAAAGAGACCCCCATCATGGAGCTACCTTTAACCCTGGTTACTAGTCTTTATTTTAAACATGCCCTGGAAGGTATGAGTAGATATCCTGACCTTGTAACACTTAATGTAAATATCAGCACACAAATTCTGTGTTACAGGGGTGCCAACCTTTTTTTTGGGGGGGGGGGAAGGTAAGCTCCACCCCACATAAAGTTGCATGCACAACATTTGAATGGCAATGCCCATCAACTGGGGGGCAGCCCCCTCAAATGTTTTATTGGGGGTGGGGGCAAAAAGAAATCGGCCCCTGGGCATTGGCTCCTATGCTGTGTTACTAGTAATGTTCAACTATTACCTCCTGTAGGAAAGAATGGGGTTTTGCATTGAATCTTCCTCCAAAGGTAAACAAAATAGCAAACAGGCAGAAACTTGGATATAAACAGTGGCATAAAGCAGAAGTTTTCAACCTTTTTGAGTCCATGGCTCTCTTGACCAACTGCATTCTTTCTGCAGCACCCCTGTGGGGCTCAAGAGCCCAGTTATGTCACCCCTTGCCTGCAGAGCTGGCGGCCTCTCACCCTTTTCCAAACACCCTCCCTTGTGGAGTCTTCCCTCAGCCTCCTCTCCTCTCCCCTAGCTGCCACCCTTGGTCTCTGAGCTGAAAACAGAGGTGCCTCCCTGAGGCACCATTCGCTTGCAGAGCTCATAGCCAGGGCTGTTGCAACAAACAGCTGCACAAGCCTTTGGGAGGCAGAGAAGTGAGAGGGCATCAGAGGAGGCAGGTAAGGAAAGAAGGACAGAGGGCAGTGTTGCCCGTGGCACCATGACCATTATTCAAGGCACCCCAGGGTGCCATGGCACACTGGTTGAAAAGCACTGTCATAAAGGAATAAAGGACACTCATCCAAAAAGAACCCTCTTTTTTGAACATTGGTTCAACCCCCTCCCCCCCCAAAAAACCTTAAACCCCAGGTTTTCAGTGGTTGGGTAGCTGAAAGCTACACCAGGACCCCATCTTTGCTTCTCAATGATATCAAGGATCAGTTGTATGCTTCACTGAACACAGACCAAAAGAATGAGAGATATTTTTGTGTGTGGATGGCTTGTGCAGAATTTTAAGGGAAGAGCTTAACTCTTGCAGGAGGCACAGATTTCTGATCTCTGACTTTGTGTTTGATTAGGCCTCAGGATAAGGTATGCATTGCTTTTTCTTCATAGTATGGATACCATGGCAAATTGTCATGCCCGCTCTTGAGGTTTTGGGGATAGTTAGGGATCCTATTTGCTCTCAAGATCAAGATGCATATGCTATGTGATTTGCTGCCCACTTATTGTGTAACTCTGCTGTCTGAAAGCAACACCCATATACTGTCACATTAATTTAAATTAATAAATCAATCTTTGTTTATTTCCTGGTGTATGAACTTCTTTATGGTACATAAGGTTAAGGGTAAACACATTTATAGCAGAAAAACATTGCATTCCAGCAAAAGTTCCTAAACCTCTTGGGGAATACACATGAGTGCTGGACACAAATGTGGGTTCAAACACAGCCCACATAACACCCTGTTTTTCCACTGGCTGACAACATTATTTATATTCTTCTCCTTTAAAGCAAGGAGTAGTGTCATCACTTTGTGAAGTAAGGCTATGTCCCTAACAGTTCCACAATTCTGAAACAAATGGGTTCACTAACTGTGGCGCCAGAAATGTGATTTATTTAATTGAATGCTCTTGTCAGTTGATATACTGTACATTGATGCCTCTACCTGCCCTGTTAAGACTCGTATTTTAGAACACTGATCCCACATTAGAGGCAAAATCAGAGAGGCTCCGCTGGTTGAACACTTCATTGAACAAAACCACACTTGTGATGTCTTTCACTTTTTTGTTGTAAAGCACATATCTTCAGCTCACTCGTTAATGTTAATGTGTCCAGATTACTTTCCCAGATGGAGTCCAAGTATATTTATAAACTCAATACACTAATTAAATTCAACATTAGAATTTGCAGGATTCATGTAATAACATGCAGCTGTGTTTGTGGGCTTTCCGCCGCTATGTCTTTAAATTCCACCACCATGTATCCTAAGGAGGTTTAACCAACTGAAGGATATCGTGCTCTTTCTATGCTCCTCCCAATGGAAACATGCAGATGGGGACAGGTAAGTTTCTATAGAGATTTTTTGTATTAGTGGGACTGGGGGTATTAACTATGTATGTGTGAATAGACTACTTATTGTCTCACCTTTATTCTTGTAGATATACCCCTGCTTTAAGTCGTTTACATACTGTCTTCTCCTCTGATTTGTAGAGGAATATTGTCTTCTTGTAATCTGAACACTTTGCATTGCCATTTGCCAGGGACTAGTTCATCAGTAATACTCTTTACTTAAATATTCCATTGAATAAGTCACCCAGCCAGCCCAAACATTTTTAAATACATCTAACAAATCCACATTGGGTAAGAGAATAATTGAGAGCATCCTTTGCATTACCCTCTTGAACCTGTTGATAAGATTAGTCTTTTCTGCACTGACATCACTCTTGCAGGGAAACCACTGAACATGAGCAAATCTCAATTTCACTTACCCCCAGAGATTTGGTCTCTACATAGCGGAGTTTCTCCATGGCTCCCACCTGCCCGTTCTGCTGAGGCTGGTTATCAGGGCCTCCAAGCTGCTGACCTCCATAGAGAGCTGTCTCTGGTAGTTGGAGAACAGTATTTGAGGCCCCCTGGCCTGCCTGGTTTATGTTGTTACAATTTGGGGGAAGGAACACTATGGTTCTGTTAGCCATCACTGCTGGATCTGTTGCCTTCTCTGAGATGTCTGTAAAAACAACCCTCATCAACAAATAAATGAACTGAGGCTGTAAAATGGAGGGGTGGAAATGGAAGCAAGAGGAGGATGTGAACAACCAGGTGTGAAAGAGGACAGAGTGTGAAAGAAGGAAGACAAAGAACTTAGAGGAAGCATGAAGGGCTGAATGGTCTGAGGAAGAGGAAATACTAATGTTCCTGCAGCTGCTACTCTACCATCTTACTTCTCTGTTTCATTTAATTTCATTGTACACAGGTTGTACATTGACAATAAAGGTATTATTAACACACACACACACACACACAGCCAGAGGCGTCAAATTGTGCCCAACATTGAAAGGTAAGAGAGAGGAGGATGGACGGGACGAGCTGGGTGGAAGGGCTCGGCCTCTTCCGCCCCCTCAAGATTGGGTTACCCAGCCCCATCCCAAAGACTTGGTGGGGGGGAGGTTGAAGATGCCCTGGCCCTATAGACCTTGTGCCTAGGCATTTAACACTTCCACCTCCAGTTCTCCTTTCCCACCAGGTCTGCTGTTGAGCCAGGAAGACTCATTGAGAGAGAATCACCCTGCACGGAAGCTATAACTGCTTAGAAACTTGAACACCTACTCGAGTAAGCACAACTGTTGTGGGTGCATTCACTTGAGGGTAGCCCTTTGTACTGGTTATCACAAGCACCCTGTTATTCCTTCAAGCTTTTCAGAACTGAGCCCTGGATCAAATCAAGCACACACACCCAAATTCATTTAACTCAGTCAAACTGTACTTACACAGCACTTCTTGATGAGCTTCTTCTCAGCCTGCCAGGGTGAATGGGATGCTGAGAATAAAATGGAAGTGGGGTGGTATTTATTCAGTTTCAGGCAGAACCTATTCAAGATGTGGTCACATCATCTACCAGCACAAACCACCTGTGCTTCTTTACACAGGCCCTGGAAACATTGCAGCCATCCATTCTTAACCAAGTTATTGTAAGTGAAGTCAAAGCTGTAATATCTTCAAAATAAGTTTCCAGGTGTTCTTCCTCCCTGCAGAAGAATTGTTAGCACAATAAGATCCTTTTTCCAACTGTCAATTTACATGCTCTTTTCACTTAAAAACTTGTAGTGAGGGTCAGCTGACAGATGTCTATTGAGTTTCTTATCAGAAAGTTCACAATATTCATAGTACTGAATGCCCCCATACCTTCTGCCATTGTTGTGATCAAGGTATTAACAGACAATTTAATTTGATTGAAAATTCTTTAGTTATTATCATAGCTAGTATTCAGCACCCTGTACTGATTATTCCACTACAGCTGAGCTAAAATTTCCCAACAAATAATTTTCTGACAATTTTTTGAAAATTTCCTTTTTTCAAAACTCCTCCTGAGCTATTACAAAAAATCTTGTCCTTCCTTAGAGACTATTTGGCAAAATGGCCTTCCTTAGTTTGCCATTCTTGAATTTGAACACAACGGTAGATTAATTTTTTTAAAAAAAAATGTTTAAGATTATTTTAGTATTTTTTTTAAAAAAAAATTAAAAAGATTTTTCACTAATAAAATACTCTTTTCAAATATTTTCCATGGTTTTCTCATGTTTATCATTTGCTGCTGCATATTATATTTAATCTATACCTTATTTTCCCAACTTTATTTTCAAAATAACTTTTACTGCTGAACTTACTCCAAACCTGCTAGTGTACTAACATGTTTACAATAATTTTTAAAATAATCTACAAACATTTTCCAATCATTCTTAAAGGTTGCTTCATTTTGTTCTCTGATTTTACTAGTACAGCAATATTTTAGAATTGTTTGGGCTTCCCTGCTTCCTCTTAGTCCATTGCTTCCCTCATCCATCCACATGAACTAACAACAGTTTCATTCAACTTTAAGTGAGCTGAAACTTCTCAGAATAAGTTTTAAAAACAACAACAATAACTGTTCATAAATTTTACCAACCCTCACAAGAATATTTGACAACCCTTCCTTTTCACTCTTTCCAAATGTCTGCACAGGTGTTCAGTAGTTTAGGATGCAAAAAAGAGAGAGTAAAGGACCCCTGGATGGTTAAGTCCAGTCAAAGGCGACTATGGGGTGTGGCGCTCATCTCGTTTCAGGCCAAGGGAGCTGGTGTTTGCCCACAGACAGCTTTCCAGGTCATGTGGCCAGCATGACTAAACCGCTTCTGGTGCAATGGGACACCATGACGAAAACCAGAGTGCACGGAAACCGTTTACCTTCCCGCCACAGCGGTACTTGCACTGGCATGCTCTTGAACTGCTAAGTTGGCAGGAGCTGGGACTGAGCAACGGGAGCTCACCCCATTGTGGAGATTCGAACCGCCAACCTTCTGATCGGCAAGCCCAAGAAGCTCAGTGGTTTAGACCATAGCGCCACCCGTGTCCCCTCCTAACCCAAACCATGTTCCAAGTAGCCATTCCACGAATCTGCTTCTCTCCAAGACACAGGCCATTTTTTTCTACAAAATATTATTGCATGAAAAATATTCAAGCTGTGCATGAACTTGAGGTTGTTTTCTGTACTTGACTTTGCATCAAGCTCTTTTGTTGAAAAGCATGAGAAACTCTTTTAATAAGCGCTGTAGCAAGATGCCCATTCCCCGTTTTCACTGCTTTATTTGGTGCTGACTAAAGGAGCAATTTTCACTATTTTCAGGAGACAGGGGAAAGTTCAACAGCAGGGGACTCACCAGTCCTCCTCTGTCTCCTTCATTCCGCCTAGGGCCAAGCTGAAATTTCTCTAGTGCCCCAGAACAATGCAGCTTGACAACAACATAATTATGTGGGACATCTTGCATTTCTTAGTACAGAAAGAATGGATCTGATGTGTAGAGATTTTTCCTGTTCTGATTAATTCAAGAGTGTTCTAGAAGGTTTCTTTCTATGTGAAAGAAACAGGCAGAAGGTTTCTGTTGTTTGGGTTATCCCTTCTGAGAAACTGAGTACAGCTAGTTTAAACTGCTTCTGTTATCTTTCTCTCAAGGTCATGTTGACTATAATAGTGAGGTCAGAAGGAGCCTGAGCTTTCACTCACTTTCTATCTCTCTTCCTTCTGATGTGGTGTTGTGTACATAGTATGCTTAGTGTTAGGTTTTAGCCTTGTTATAAGTTTATAAGTTTTTGTAAGTGCTGCAACTGGATTTTTTATGTGCCAATCCTGAATGTATTGGATTTGTGACCAAATCTTGCCTTCAGTAGCAGTAAAGCTCTGCTGGATGAAGTACAATTGCCTCTGGTCTATTTTTTGGGAATCCTGGAATGTGTTCAAGTTTGTCCTCCTCCACACAGCACAGCATTCTGGTGGGTGGGTGGGTGGGAGGGAGGGAGATGGTATTATCTCCCCATCCCAACTGTTCCACAAAATGATGCTACTTTATGACATAGGCAATCTGAAACCTGAAGATTGAGACCCAAGCTATCTTGAATGTCTTATTTTGAACTACTTTGTTTTCTTTCTTATCTTATCTTTATTATTGTTATTATTATTCAAACAAGCAAGCAAACATAACATCAGGCTAAGAGTAATAATAAGAACAGTCATAAAAGCAGGAAGAATAAAATTACAAGATAATAAAATCATAATCATAATAGAAAGCTTAAGAAAGAATGATGGGTGTCTATATATTCCATAGTGGAACGCAAGGTTCATATTTGTACCAAACATAGCAAATAATCATTAATGTCAACAAATAAACTCATATTTAGTGGGAATGTGCCATCCATGAGATTGCAACAGAAGGATGGATTTGTACATTTCAGTTCTCTCAGTGTCTTATATTCTAATATTAATTTCAGTTCACATTTGTGCATCAATTTGTGATAATTATTATTTTTTAAATACTCATGAAAATATTGCAACATTTTAGTGCAAATTTCTCATAATATACACATTTTTATGAGTTTTAAAGTACACATTTTTGCAAAAAAATTCTCATAATAAATTTTTATATAGCAATTTCACTAATATTTTAATGCACATTTCTCCCTAATATATACATTTTTATAAGCATTATTTGAGGGGAGAAGTGCATCACAAAATTTAGAAAAGTGTGAATTTTGAAGGATGACAGTGGTTGTTTTTGTTTTTGGTTCTTATATCATTTTGGAAAATGTGAATTTGATAGGCTTTAAATGTGAACTGAATCAAATTTTCCCTCCATCCCTAATAAGAATACATATGCCATTCCTTCTAGTATTTAACCCACAGAAGCTAACAGGAGAAGCAGTAAAAACAAAACAAAACAAGGTGCAGTATAATCATAAATGTACAGGTGAAACAGATTATTAAAATATGTCACACAGAGGTTGGAAGATTTTACACATTAAAAACTAGCAGCACTAAAACAGAAAGATGTTATGTGATAGAAGGTTGTCCAGACAAAAGCATTTTCAGTTTGTGCTGGAAAGATGTAGGCAGATGTCGACAGGGAGAGCATGATAGCATATAAATCTTCTGTGCAAAGACACATTTGCAGGTATCCTCTTCCACCATCCCACCCCTGAAGATGACTCCCTGGTGAAACAGTTAACACAACATCCAATATCATTAGCCAAGATCGCTAATTCTATTAAATCATTCAGAAGCAGAAGCAGCATAAGTTTACTCTTGTAAAAGAGAATTGTCTAGCAAGACTGTGGAATCGTAATCATAACAACATACATAAGGAATGCTCTTGGACCAGACTAGTTATTTCCCAATCTGATGCCTCTCCAAAGAGATCTGCTCAAGAATGATAAACATGGACTTGGTTTCTTAGGCACTGAAATAATAAGATGCAGCATAAGATACCATGTTGTTATGAGT